TGGCTGAGCAAGAGCGGAGAAAGTAACTGAGGGCTGCACCTGCCACCGAGAGGGTTACGAGACTACTGGCTAGAGATGAGCAATATTCCCACTGACCCGTCAGTTCCACAATGCCAATCAGTCTGAGAAGCCCAGCTATATGCCTGTTCCTGTTTTTCTGTGATGCTGGCTTTGGGTGGAGATCTCTAGCTTCCTTATTTCCTTCCACGTGTCCTTTGAATAAACCCCCTCTGAATTATGGTGCCTCTCTTCTTTGAACATCGTAAATATCCAATTACTCCAACCAGCTCTCTCAAAAAGAGAGTCCACTCTTCCTCTAACAAATTCCACTCGTATTTTTTAAATGTAAAAAAGTGAGTCTTTTCTCCCAGAGCAACGTTTGTTTAAACAACCCTGGTCCTAGACTGCCACGTTGTAGTTGTTGCATCACTTGTTTCCACCAGATGGCACTGTTGCTGATTCACACACCCGGGAGTCCCACAAAATTTAATCTCATTACTGAACAAATGCTGGCAACTGCTTCACAAAGATAACCGCTTCTCCACATTCCTGAGAAATTACCAGTTTTAACAACTACTGTCTCTCTAAATAACTTACTGGATGCAGCGGTGTTCTCTAGAATCTGGCAGGAGAGATGACCACTTAGCAAAGAATCACACAAATAAACACAAATCAGAGAAACAAAGGTTCCTGTTGCTAATGACCAAGCCTGAGGGTTGGAAATCCAAAGGAGCAAAAGAAACTAAATTTGAAGGTGGGGAGGGGAAGCATCCTCCCAAACAGTAGGAACAGCAGTTAAGAAGGAACTGAGACTGGAAGGATTATGGCACTTTGGAAAGGCTAAGAAAAAGAGAACCCAGAGCTCTGAAACTGAGGATAACAGCAAAAGAAAGGAGGAAATTTGAGGGGTCCCAGGGGTAAGTCTTTGGTTTCGGTGACCACCTATATAATGATTCTCAAATTTGTTCTCTCTCTAATCACTGCCCCTACTTGATATATCCACTTTGTTTCAAAGACGTCCTCAAATACATGCACAGCACTGAATTCATGATCCTCTCTGGTCTGACTGGCCGTTCTTGAGTATCAATAAATGTCCAACCTATACATTCAGTTGCAAAATTCAGAAAACTGGAAAGAGTCCTTGCAGTCTCCCTCATCCCTTAGCCGCAGGGACCATCCACCATCAAATCCTGTTCGTTTTATGTACCAAATCCAACAGTTTTCTCTAGACCACTGATTCTCCAGTGTGGTCTCCAAGCCAGCAACATTAGCATCTCCAAGGAACTGGTCAGAAATGCAAATTCTCAGGCCCCAGTCCAGGCCTACCGAAACAAGGGGGCCCAGAAGCCTGCATTTTAACAACCCCTCCAGGGACTGGCAGTCCAGTACACGTGGAGGATCACTGATCTACATCTACAGGGTCCCTGCTGCTGCCATAAATTTATTCCACTATTTCTTTTTCGTTTTTCTTTATAACATTTTTTTATTGATTTATAATCATTTTACAATGTTCTGTCAAATTCCAGTGTAAAGCACAGTTTTTATTCCACTATTTCTTATCTGGGCCACTGCAGTAGCTTCGCAATTGTTCTTCCCCACATCCATTAAAGCTTCCTTCTAGGGTGACTCTCAGCCCCAGAATCTATTACAATCTACAGGAATCTACTCTAAACCAACTAAACTCAAGTCTTTGGGGATAGGGCCTAGGCTTTGGTATTGTTTAAAAGCTTCACTTTGAAGGCCCAGACTGAGAACCACTACTCAATGCTACTCTGCAGCCAGGCTGATTTTTTTTTTTAATGCAAATCTGGTCTTATAATTCCCCTACTTAAAACCAGCCACGATCCAGCCTACATTTCTAACACCTACAAGACTAGCAAGTGCTCTGGCCCCTACATTTGCCACACACCCTCTGGTCTTCTACCATACTGGTCTTCAATCCCTTGCAGGCTCCATGGTTCCTCTTGCCTTAGAGTTTTCCATATGCTGCTTGCTCTCTTGGCCTAAATATTCCTGTCTCATCCTTTTTGCCTTGTAATCCTCACTCTGCAGATCTCCATTCCAACTTCCCTTCCCCAGGGAAGTCTTTCCCAATCTTTGTCATAGGAAGAGCTGGGTAAGGAGGATCCAGACATCCCAGTTTGCCTAGGAAGTCCTGATTTATGAATTTATGGCTTAAGAATGTACTTATCTATAATTTTATATTTATTTGTGATTATTTGATTCACGTCCATATTCCTCACTGGATCAGAAACTGCAAGAGTTTGATAGAGAGGATGCACTAACAAATATTTGTTGAATGACTGAACAACCTTTTGAACACACTAATTAGTGTTCGCATTTATATAAGGGGAAACTGAGTCTACAGAGTTTAAATATTTTGCTTAAATCACACAGTTAGTAGATGGTGTGGCTGGAATTTGGACCCAGGTCAGGGATTTTCCAATGTCAATAACCATGAAGCTGTGCTTGTAGAGAGATTTCACAGCCTGATTCAGTGCCTGAGTTTCCACAGTGGCTCAGGATTGAGCTTTGTTTGAGTCTTATTAGAACTGAGCTCAGCTTGAAGGCTACATAGATATTTCCTTTCTATTGAAATTTTAATCTGCTTCAAGGAAATGAAGCTTATGGCTCTCAGGGTATAAAGGGCAAATGTGTGGGAGAAGCCAGAGATCAAACGGTCAAGTACACTTGTTAGAGAATTTTTCATGAGCTGAATTCAAATGCTATCAGTAAAGAAACTCCCCCTTGGATTTAAAAGAATAAGAACAAAGGACGAGGGGAAAGGCAGCTGTCAGTGCACAAAGAGAAGGCAGATGGAATGGTCTAGGCCTGGGGATGTGGAATAGATGCAGCCAAGAGCTGGGACAGGGGTCACAAGAGAAGCCAATGCAGCAGAACCTAAGAAGCTGCTTCTCTCTCAGTGAAAACCCAGGAGGAAACACTCAGTTCCCTGTAATTCATCAGTGGGTCCCCTCCATGTGTGCCAACTGCCCTTCCTCTTTCTGAGTAATAGTGAGATATAACTCCAGGAGGTCACCTTGCCTCATTGATTCCCACTTTTCTCACATGCAAAATGAGGAAGCTCAACTCAGATGACCCTGAAAGATGCTCTCTGCTCTACAATTTTGTGGTTCTGTGACCCACAGCCAATGCTATAGGAAAATAGGAACACACATGAATACCGGTAATAATCCCCTTCTCAAAATCAGGAAAAGGATGTCCTATTTACGCTATTCCTCAACCCCTGTTGCATCTGATTCCTGACAAAAGTGCTTCAGGTCAAGTCCAGCCTGCTTTAAAGTCTAAATTGAACAATGAAGTTCAAAGCAAAATGAATCCCAAGTAGAATGAGTGCCACTAATCTACTAAATCCCAAAATTGAGGTATATTAAAATATTATTATAAACTAAACTATTATTATTAAACAAAAATAAGTTTTTAACAGAAAAATTTGATGGTGCTATTTTTTATTTTTAATAATTTCATTTGTTTGCATTAGAATGAATCATGTATAATGTTAGACAATTAAATCAGAATAAACCCAGATTGCAGTTCACATTAGTGAAACAGTACATTTGATATGTGTTTTACAATTGGATCAAAACATTCTTATAAGGCTTACATCAGCACTAGGAATGAGTAGCTATGAGGCAGGATCATCTAGAAAACTGAGAATGATTCAACTCGAATGTACCGTTGTCCAGAATACTCATTCCCCAAACTCCACCTGAAGGAATCTTGTCATTTCTTCAACCCTGTCACTGACCTAAGAAGCAGTTTTAAAACATGGCTCCCAGATTCCTTGACCCTCCTCCTATTGAAACATGGGGCCTATGTTCCCTCCCCTTAAATTTGGGCTTTATAACTCCTCGATAAACAGAATCTGGTAGAAGTGATGCTGTGCCAGTTTCCAGACACAGGCTTTAAGAAACTGGCAGCATTTACTTTCTGCCTTGGAACCCCGCCACCATGTTGTTAGGAATCCAAACAGACACACGTAGAGGCCATGTGTAGGTGGTCCAGCTGACAGTCGCAGCTGAGGTCTCAGTCTATAGCCAGTATCAACTGCCAGCCATGTGAGCCATTAAGCTTTCAGATGATTCCGGCTCCCAGTTTTCAAGCTGCCCCAGCTGACTCCACATGGTGTAGAGATAAGCTGTTCCCTTCCAGACATATCCAGGTTTCAGCTTCATGAGCTAATTAAATGATTGTTGTTGTCTTCAGCCCCCAAGTTTGGGGTGGTTTGTTATGCAGCAATAGAGGGAGAACAGAAGCCTTCCTTAAATCCTAGCACCATTGCCACAACCACCTCTACCATCAGTACAATGGTCATGAGGCAGTTCAAGACAATCCCCACTCTCCTCCTCTTGGGTACAAGACAAAAATGTACTTCCCACCTGCTTTGAGTTTAGGCTTGGTCATATGATAAATTATGGCCAGTGGAATGTAAATGGAAAGGATATGTGCCAATTTGGGGCAGAAGTTTAAAATCTCCTGGGCCATCCACCAGTCCACTTCTTTTGTCACAGTGATGGTGGAAGCCCACATGGAAATGAATCTTTCATCAGTCAGACTCCCTGGTGGAACTACGATGAACCGGGCTACATTGCCAACCCACGCTGGACATACAGCATGAGGCAGATATCATTATTCGTTGAGTTAAGCCACTGAGATTTTTAAAAGTCATTTGTTATCACAGCATATGACCAGGTTTCTCAATGGACATTCTGGACTAGATAATTCTCTGTCGGGGCATACTGTCCTGTGTATTGCAGGATGTTCAGCAGCATTCCTCACCTCTACCTACTAGATGCCAGTAGCACCACCACCCCCAGCTGAGACAACCAAAAATGTCTCCAAACTTTGTCAAAGGTCCCTTAGATGGCCCCAGTGAGAACACTGACCTAGACAGCTCCACTTGATGCAACTACCATCATACAGAATTGCTTCCTCTTCATTCTTTGAAAGCCCTTCATGGAGTCTCCTCTATAGCACTCATATCATTCACCACATCAACTTACAATTAGTTCCTTGAACTCTGTCACCCTGAAGACTGTGAGGGCAGGTGGAAAAGTAGGGCAGGTGCAATGATCTACCTAGAGCTTGAGTTTTCTGTTAATGTTATACCAAGGGAGGTGCTTGGAACACATAGTCCCTCCCAGCAAGGTGACCCAGTTCAAGGCCACCACAAATGGTTGTGCAGTGTGCAGACTGCACAACAGTACCTAACCTCAGAAATAAGTGGTGACTGGGATCCATTCCACTCTGCTTGCCATTTGATCTCCATGCATAAGGTGGGAATTTTTCTCATTCATCTCTCTGAAGAAGAATCTTTTTTAAAAAAACTTCACACTGAGGCTGGGCTGCTCTGACCCAGATTGTGTGGGAATCTGAGATACATCCACATAGAACAAGACTAGAAAATCAAAGCTCTCCTTCCTGATGCTGACACAGCGATTCCCTTGTTCCGAATCTTGGAAAGAGATGGAAAGCTAGTTCAAGCCGCTGGACAAGAGTAAGTAAAAGAAGCTCAAGTTAATACTGACTAGTTTGAAAAGAAACAGTGAAAAGTTAAGTCCTCCCTTCCTACTCTTGACCCCTAATATTCCCTTTCAGGGCCAGCCACTGTCATTAGTGGCCATCCAGAGGAATACTAGGCATACACGGGTGATATGTATGTGGGACATCATCTCTTTTTAAAACACATATATTAGCGTACTTTACACATTGTTCTTCATCTTTCTTCTTAACTTAAACATGTCTCTTAGACAGCATGTTGTCATTACATGCATCATTATTTTAAAGGCACATTTTTAATGTTATAGAATGACATATCTCATATAATCAGTTCCTTGTTGATGGGCATTTAAGTTGACTCCAAGCTTTTACTATTACAATCATTGCCTAAATAAATAACTTGGTACATAAAAGATAAATTAATTAAAATAAAATAAGACAGTCTAGCTATAGCAGGCAAACTTGAGCAAGATTCCCTAAAATTGGTTATTTATCTGAATCAAACTGGCATCTCCATTAAATGGCCTAAAATCCCCAAGCCCTAATGTGTGGGCCAGTGGAACCCTCTAATCCATGTAAATTAAACACCAATTAGAACGGTCTATTTAAGTTTCCATATAAAATGCCAGCTAAACTGTATACATTAGTGTGTGTTGAAATCAGCCCTTGTATAAATTGTTTCTTAGCCAGTAGGAATCACTGCAATTGCTGTTTATGAAATTCCCTCTGGTTCTACTCAAGCAGCTCTTCTTGATGTTGTAAATGAGCTACCAAAGTCAAACAGTTCAGGTGGTGACATGGCCAGTGGAATCCGACATCAGTAGGGGCAAGACCCAAGGTACATGATTTCTCCTACCCACCCACCTGTGCCTCTACCACTCCACACCCACTGCTCCACCTGTACACAACACACATCATAATGCTTGATGGCTTGATTGTATCAAACTGTGTTCCTTGTCAAGCCACCACCATGTTCTATCCTGACAGCAATCTGACCCAATAGCTTTCCCACTGACATCTTTCCCAAGGAGAAGTCTCCATATGCCAGTCTCTTTACCCTTCTGTACTTTGGTCAACTCCAATCCAGAGAAATTCATTATCTTGAGGACTTTCATATGCTCTTTATCCTCATGTGCTCTCTCTACCTTAGGAAAATACAGTTAATCACTGTCATCATTTTTCCTTCCCTTTTCTTCCTGCACAGCCTTCTCCTTTCCTCTTTTGCTTCCTCTCTTCATTATGACTGTCAACTCAGAAATAGCCCCAATCATGATTGATAGGCATTCGAGAAGTGCCAATGAAACTTCTCTATTAAAAAAAGGAGAAACGCAATTTTAAAATTGCAATGCATATGATAAGGACTAGTATAGTGAAATTCCCAGAAGTCCCCTTTAAAAAGTTCTACTCACCTCTACATAAACCTGTCTTCCTCAAGAAACAGTATCAATGATAATCTATTGCTTATTAATAATGTTCTGTAACAACACTGTTTTGTCATTTCTCACTGCAATTTGGTAACATTAAGCTTCCTTTATACAGCCTCTGTGGCTTGAAATGACCTGCCCTCAATTTTTTGCCTTTGAAAAACCTCTATCTTTTAAGTCCTTGCAGAATAAGCTGTTCCTTTCCCTGTACCCTTATATCAAATTGTTTTTATTGCTATTTAACAACTATTTTATTTAGTCTTACATAATTTGAATTTGTCTCTCCTCCTATAGTCTCCAAGACCCTTGAGAGACTGAGCTCTGTTAACACTTACTCATAAACTTCCCTATCAGGAGCACATCTGTCTGCCATGTGGTAAAAGAACATGAAATGTATACTGAAATGATATGGGCTTCTGTGGGTTGGACTAGGAATCTAAAGACCACTCACAAAGTTACCTGTCTGCAAAACTACACTGTTTGTCAAACAACTGACTTATTGGTTTACTTATAGCATACTTAATTCCATAATAATTTCAGGTAGCCTATAGATACTTCAAAAAAATTTAGAGTGGCATATTTTGTCAACTAAATTCAAGACTGAAGATCAATATCAAGAGCCCAGTTACATAGGCCATAGGACTTTACATAGCCATACAACTTGGGCTACAAGTTTGGCACTGAGCTTCCTGGCAGTAAAGCACAAAGGAAAATATGTTCAATTGCATGGTTCCCATTGTCCAGAAGGAGAAAACATGCCATTACTTGGGGGAAGCAAAATTTTTCTGACACTTAGTTCTGAAACAAAAGCTCTGGTATAAGATTTCTCATATAGGATATTGAATAGGCAATCAATTGACTCAGTTGGAATTTCAGTGCATAATTTGTTCTTAAGACTAATGGAGAGCCATGTGTCAAGAGGTAGAGCCAAAGAGGTTAAAGTAGTGACATTATTTTATCTGCTCTTAAATAAAAAAGATCATTAGAACATGTCTAATAAATAACCCTCATGCAATATCTAACATAGAATCCTAGAAGTATAAAAATTGTTGTGTTGTTGTCACTGGTTTTGTTTGCCTGTTTGTTTGTAATAACAATGAAAACATTTATGTTTCTAATTTGTGGAAAGTTTGAATGGGGAACTAGAGGTTCCTCAATATTTCTGAGGTTTAGCATGGGTTTAACAAGTAAGATATTGAGAAAGGGTGCTGATTAATTTACATTTAATTACTCCATGGAGATTGTTAAAACATAAATAAATTCAAATGATTCCCCTCAAAAAATCTAGTATGAAAAACTTGAGATTTTAAAATCAAGGGTTTTATTAAATTTTCTTCTCCCCCATAAATTGAGGTAGCAATTCTAGAATATCAGGATTATATGTAACAAGTCAGCACACAACTAAAGAGGGCAGAAGCCAACAAGAAGGGAGGAAAGAGGGATTTAAAAAGCCTAATCAACCATTATGGAAAGTTCCAAGGGGTCTATTTGGGTCTCACTGTTAGAAGTAGATTAGCCCTTCCATATTCACTAAATCCCCAGTTAATACACAGGCTGCCTATCCAAGCCAAGATCAACTGTGCTTTAAATTTCATTTTAAACTTTTAGGGAAAAAAAAAAGTAAATAAGCTATATAGCCAGAACACTAAATCATAGCACAATTTTCTAAATGTGTTTTTCTTGAAGTTTGCCAACTTTTATAAAGCCTTGAATGTTTATTGTTAAGTAAAAGATGCCATCATTCCCTCTAAAGTTATTCAATGTGAAAACTGATAGCACTGTTTTCCTAATTCTGTTTTCGGTCAGTTATCTTCAAAATATTCTCTTGAACCCAAGGGGGAGAAAAAAATCAGACTTATTTACAGTGCTGTGGAGCATGAGAATGTGAAATGTGAAGTGTTTTCCCCCAAAATAGTTTGCTAATAAAAATAACCAGACTTTTGGGTCACTCCTCATTATTGGGTTTTATTCACAGAGTTCTATGCTGTTACTCAGGAAAACCAGTGAAGATGAGAAGTCAAATAAACTGCTAAGCAAAATGTATCAAAAATATATTTGAAATATGAGCAGAATTTGAAATCTAGCTTCACTGATGCTTCTTGTAAAGTCACTGTATGGGAAAGCTATAATTCTTCTAGTAATTAATCTGACCCAAGAGTGCTCATGTTTAGAAGTCTAACCCAAGGAGAATCTACTTAGAAAGGAGAAAGAAAGATATAAATGGATCCAATGCATCTAGACATACCAACCATGATTCCATGAGCAAACCACTGAACAGAATAACATGACCATTACAGATGGCCAGGGATACAACCTAATACTTATGCATGGAATATTTTTGTGAAAGGTGGCACTGAAGGAACAATCTGGGAAGCTAAATATAAATAAAGAAAAGAAAAGCTAAAGACCACTGAACTAAGTTTTCCCTGTCACCCCTCTATTTCCTCTTCTTCTATTTAACAATGGTGCATCACAGAGATAGAGAACAAACTAGTAGCTACCAGTGGGGAGAGGGAAGGAGGGAGGGGCAAGACGAGGTATGGGATTAAGAGATACAAACTACTCTATAAAATAGATAAGCAGCAAGGATATGAGGTACAGCACAGGGAAATACAGCTATTGTCATAATAACTTTAAATGTAGTCCAATCTATAAAAATAATTGAATCACTATGTTGTGCACATTGAAACTAATATAATATTGTAAATCAACCCAATGTCAAC